CTACGCAACTGACTTGCTGCAGCCAATCAGCGCAGCCGGCTCTGCCGCCTTCTTCAATAGTAGCATTCGAAGGATCGTGTTTCGCATGGATATTTGAGGAATTTCTGCGATTTGAGCGCATTCTGGCAGGATGATTGTCAAAAATGGCGAGTGTAGCTTGTTAAGCAGTCTTCCGCGATTCCAACGATATTTGGAAAGTGGCGTCACCTGCAGGAACACCAGAGTTGTAACTGATTGGAAACGGTGTTGTGGTCAGTGCCGCGGCGAGTTAGGCACCATGTTGTTATATAGAGTCAATAGATGCGTGTGTGCTGTAGCTGCAGGTGCGGACTTGTTCTTGCTGCCAGTGGCAGTGAGTAGACGTAGGCGACATACCACTCGCCGACACCTCGGGTACATACGACAAGACAACGACCCCTTCAGCAATACTAATATTAATAATACTAATAAGCGAAGGCAAAAGAAAGTAGAGAAACATTAAGACTTTGGTAGTAAATACATTTCGTGTTTATTTACCATTATTTTTTTATTGAGACGTTCCAAGTGCCTGTGATGCGATTCGTGAAACAAATCACGACGACAATCATTCAATGAAAGAAAATAGGACAACCGACAAGGATACTTCTCTGATGCAAACTTTTCATTCGTATGTTGTATGACGTACACAACTTTGCTATCATCTTTAGGCGAGGATGTCTTTTTCAGGACAAACAGCTTTTTCCCTAATAACGGCATGGTGATCAAGAAAATTACTTTGTTTGATAGCAGCACACGCAAAACCCCCAAAAGTTTGAAAATGGCGGGAGCTTGTCCGAGTTTGAGCGGGAACCTCTCACAGATCCCCGGAGAACCCGCACGAACTGTGGTAATCACTGACCTGCGTTGGTAATAAACATCGCTAGCAAAAATTCAAAGTACACCTATTTACTATTTTGGTCGAATAAATAATGAAATGCCTGTTGTTTTCATCTCTACTTTATGTTACTTCGTATTGATTAAGGTATGTCGGAAAATATTTTAGGTGATTTGTCGGGGAGAGGTTCGTGGGCCCCGCCATGTTTGCATTGTTTGTGTTGTTTCCTTGCAGTTAGAGTAAAATTATACTTTGAAATATGTGTTTTCTGTCTTAGATTAAGAAGTTTTCAACAAACGTAATGCTAAAAGTAAGTATTAGAAAAATACCCAAGAATTTGCTATGATTTATTAGAATATTTTTTTCTGAAAACTACCGCTACGGTACGTAAGTTGTCGCTTGCTTGTCAGTGTCGCCTCGGTGACACTGATACTGACAGTGACTCTGTCTCTGACTCTGAGCACAACCACAGACATTTGGAACGTCTCAATAAAAAAAAGGTAAATAAACACGAAATGTATTTACTACCAAAGTCTTAATGTTTCTCTACTCTATTTCGCCTATAATCACCTGTATTGTTACTGTAAAGTGTAAGTGTAAATGCCGGTCAAATGCTCATCTGCAACACACAACTTCACAAGCCTCTGACTCTGAGTCTTATTCATGTTGTTTGTGCACATGCCATGGCGGGCTAGATACAATAATGTAACCCAAAAAGAGTAGGGTTACAACGTGAGCCTATTCTTGTCTTTGGAGGAGCCCCTGTCCCTGAATGATTCACGCAGGGCAGTTTTTATGGTGGCGTATTTTCGAGACGTACAACTTCCAAAACTGGCTTTCATTCTAACACACGAACCTTTGTCTCCGTATCCTGGACATCTTACTTTG